CTTCACAAATCTGGTAACATTTATAATTAACAAAACAAATTTAAAAATTTCGTTTGAATTGAATTCGAGGTAGTTCTTCCCCTCTCTAAAATCACAGAAAATGTGTTCAACTTTGCTACATCAAAGATAACTTCCGTCTTGTTTTAAGTCGGGGAAATACCGTACATCTTAACATTTCCAGCTGTGTATACATACTTGTCAGAACTTATCTTTAGGAACTGAAATTTCCAGGTAAACCCCGAAATAACTAAATTGAGCCGAATATAAAGAAAAATTTGCCCATAACTACAGTTGCACACGGCCAAGAGAGCCATGAATAAAAGAATAAAAAGCCAATTAAAGAAAATTTTGGCATTGGTCATTATTATACCTGGAACTACACCTTGCTTGGTTTTAAGTACACCTCATTTAACAGCTCTAGAAAATTGAAATGTTGCAAGAATGAAAAACATAGATACAAACATTCACGAGATATATATATTAACTAATCCTAATTTAGATAAAGTTCTGAGTGTAAACCAGAAAAGCGAAACAGAAAACTACTCCAAAACCAGGTACAACAAAACACAGAAAATAATAAAAAACCAAAAATAAATGTTAAGAAACCATTCTAACAAAACCTCAAATCTGATATTAAGTTGAACACATTAAAACCTCCTTAAAGTTTCATATTCGGCGGACAAAATATGACCAAATGTTCGTATTTAAAGTTGCCTAGTTATCACAAAAATAATTTATGCTTTAAACCTAATCCAAAAGTATCCTCAAATATCAAAAATAAAAAGAATTCGCAAACAGCATCATTAACGGCAAATATCGCAACAAATATTTAAACGAAATTTTTCCTCTTGCATGGTTTCTGCATATTTGAATTATCGGCAGCAAAAGTAGGCTGCAAAAATTAATTAAAAATAACAAAGCATAGGAATTTTTCACACAAAAAAGGGCTCAAAATTTAGAAAATTTTCGAAATATATAAAACATGGCGTAAACATGCAAAGATTAAAAAAAAAATTAAGAATTTACAAAATTAAAAATAATAATTTATATTACCTCAAACACTGCACAGTGGATTTGACAAGAGGCTGTCCAACCTGATCAGCGACAAATGCACAACGGTTTCACCAGCCTCTGAATCATCAGCACCTCCAGGTAAACCTTTATAAAAATAAATTTTAATACTGGAACAATCTTACTAAATAAAATACGGAAAATTAAAGTTCCAATTATACTTGCAGTTAAGTATTATTCTAAATAAAATATTTTCAACACTTGGCAGAGCTACTTGATCAAAATTTAAATCATAGAAGGACCTAACACTTAAATGTTAATATATTAACTGTAAAATGAATTGAGGTTGCACACTGTAAATTAAATAACGAAAAAGGCAAATAATTCGTAAAATTAAAAAAGGGTTTACATGCTCCAGTGTATAATTCCGTGCTTTTAAATTTCAATTTGAACGATATTACTATTTTGGATTTCAAGTAATATCGTTTTTGCTCTAGGCCATGCTTATTGAATATCTTAGACTAAATATTTACCAAAACAAATAAAACTTGCGTCTTCTTGGTTTCCAAACCAAAAAACGAACATTAACCTAATAAAATGTTCTATATGGTCATACCTTGTACTGTACATATATGTACATCAGGTTGGCCGTACAGTGTCTCTGACCCCTACCCTCCTGCTACAGGTTTCAAGCCCTAACTGTCCCTCTGCTCCAGGTAACCTTTTCTAACAGAGATAACAATAAATTCCCAACAAGTCATCTATAAGAACTTGAATAATAATAGTAACATCAGCCTACACATTAGAGAATACTTGGACATTAAAAAAAAATTTGACTTTTAACAAATTAGAATCACACTTGATAAAATTTTACCTTTAAACCACAACCAGCAGCCCAACACTGTTGTTTACAAACTATGGGATATAATTAATCATCAAATCAGAACCACTTAAACATTTTAACATCACTCTGAAATGAGTAACCAAAAATCAAAACCAACAATCCATAGTCATACACAACTATCAACATAAGTAACCAAGTATAAATATTTCAATTAAATTTTCGAATACTCTAAATAGAATTAATTTAGTGAATTTTATTAAAATATTTAAGGTTTCACCTGCGTAGTGATTGTTAATTTTAACCGTGCACCCTACCCTTCCATGGGAAAACCACGCCATTAACTTAAAATTTATAAATACCTTAAAAGGCTTAGAAGAATTAAAGAAAAAAATATAAAACCAATAAAGGCCATGCATATTACCAACGTGGGTAACTTTAAAAATGGTGCTTAAAAATAAAATTAACAATTCCTGCAAACGATCGGGCTCCCTTCTGTCACGTACAGATTGCCTTCCACCCTGAATCGGAGTTCTCATCAATCCTCCAAAATATACCACTCCGCAATTACCACCACCACGCTCAGATTCAAGGGCAACCTCATCCACTACACCTTGAACACCACCCTAACAAAAACACAAGATATAGTTCACAGGATAAACTTCATATATAAAAATAAACGTCACTCGTCTCCGCCACTCACCTGAGGCGGATGCTCCAAAACCGACTGGTCACCTCCGGCCAAAACACTGATTCCAGCTACCAACGGCTCTCCTTCACCAACCTCAGTAGCCCCACCTCCTACTCCACTAAGGAACGGATTTGTAGCCTGCGACCTATTTATATTGGACTGGTTTAAGGGTGTAGAATGCTGAAAACCTTGATCAAATACTGGGGCGTTCATAATGGAAACTACAGGCTGCGGGATAATTGGACAAAATCCGGGTTGAGGAATAGAGGGAACTGCACATTCCTGTCCACCAGGGTGAAAACTTCCGTTCCGAGCATTATCACCAGCTCCTGGAGACAAATTCTCACTTCCAGGAGTAAACAGGAAGCTGTTCACACCGGTGTAGTCTAACTTACGGGGTTTCAATTTAATCCTTTTCTTCGGAGTTTTTCCCAAAGGACGCAAAAACGGGTTGGAAGTCCCCAAAGGATCTGCATCCCGCTCCACATTAACCTATAACAACAATTCACATCACTCATCCTCTAGTTACCAAGACAAACATTAAAATTCTAATTTTTTAAAGTATAATGTACCCACCTCTACACCGGGGCCCTTACAGCGTTTAAAACTCACACATACCCACAGAGAACACAGTACACCCTACGTGCATACAATTTCAGTAAATCAAAACCACACATACCTATTTCCATATAACAAAAAAAACACTACATGCAAATTTTAAGGCCAGTTACCTTTAAACTATTCACAAAACTGTTGTCAGTACAAACATCCACCAATAAACTAACCAAATAACTAAAAGTCACGGTGTATCCTTGCCTGAATAAAATAGATTCGATTAAAATAACTCCATATATTTAGAGATTCGCATAACTCACCTGGCCAATACCTCCCACAGCACCATAAAAACAGCAGTCAACAGAATTCCAAATACTGCTCCAACCACAAAAGAAAACCAGTGTACACTGAAAAAATCCTCCTCTACAAGATAACACATCGGCTCAGGTAAGCGTATAACTCCACCCTAAACATAAAATATAACTAAATGTCATCAAAGCAAAACTCCGTCACTCGCCTACGCTTTATTTCGTCAGCATTTATATTTGTTTTGAGGAAGAAATAGTTAAAAAAAAAATAAAAAAGTACAAGTCAGGTTCCCTTTCAAAATATCATTTTAAATACTTGCATGCACAGAGACAAATACAAAGCAAAACAGTTAACTAGGTCACTTGCCATTATAATTAATCAATCATTACAGGTTTCAACACTCTCAAACTACAACTTATTTCCCCTTCATTTGAATAAAAATAAAACTCGCCTTCAACATAAGATGGGTGCAATTACCCCTCACATATTCCTGGGTAAACTGTTGAACAAAGGCCCTAACAATACAATAAAAAAGATAATTAATAAGGGCACACAATTTTCAGCAACAACAAAATAAAAGATATAACCTTAACAAAAAACATATAATTTCAGTCAAGCTTGAATTAAAGGAATAAAACAAAATTTGCAGAGTTTACTATGTGTTACATAAAGATCCACTTACTGCCCGTTCTTAGTTAAACAAATAAATAATTAACCAAACATTTGCATAACAAATAAATAAAAAAAAGAACGCACAGCGTCGCTAATTGCTAATTAAAAACACCGATTAAATCGTTTTTTTTAAAAACTAACAAAAAATTAATTAAAAAGAAAGCTACTTACGCGGATCCGATACTACAAACGGACGGAAACGCCATCTTACCTGAAATATTTCACAAACTTAAGTCTTAATCTGCCAAATTAAAAGCAGAACAATATTATTCTCAACACATTACCAAATGTGTTTAAAATTAAATTAACCTTATAACTAAAATATTAAATATTTCTTCCTCAAACGATCCAATTTTGTTAAATACAGCTAGGCATTACAAACAATATATAAGAAACTTTGCAAATAAATAATATCAACCCTTAAATCTAAAATAAGCAAATATTTTAAAACAAAATAATAGTGGACGATAATCGAAAGTAAATACAAAAAATTTTTTTTAGTCTAAAAACACTTAAGATTGGATCGTTTTAACAAAAATAATTAATTTATCACGTGTTCAGGTTTTCACTGTCCAAGATGTCGCTCAGAAGTGAAAGCCCGGCCGATGATATGGATCTAGGGCAACTGAACTCCCCGCCTGGCTCAATCCTACCAGCGTCAGGTATAAAACCGCGCCCCACATTCCACATGTTGGCGCAGTAATATCCACGTGCTAATTTGTTAGTCGAATGAAACCCTCATCGCCCCGTCGACTGGATCCTACACAAATTAAATTTTTTTTTACAAATTTAGATGATAAAAAGCTAGAAATTGATAAGTTCGAACCAAAATAATCGCCGAAAATTAAACATTGCACCATGCTAAGAAAATAGTGCGAATATCGAGCCAAACTGAAAGCATCTCGTTCCATTTCCAACAGCTTTCTTTTCCTCGCCCCGCTAGGACGCGCCCAACTCAGGAGTAAAATTCGCAAATCTTATAATCAACGGTTTGCATTCTTTAAATAAAACCCTGAATCTATAACCCATTTTCGTATAATTTTCATCAATTAAATGACAATAAAAATAAAATAATTCCCCTTTTAACTTTCTACAATATTTTCGAAATTTACAAAATCTGCTTTCCAGCCTGGCTTGACTGCTACCTAGGCGTAACTTTCGTAAATATTCCAAATCAAATCTTACTTTTATCAAAATTTTACATTGTCGCCCTGATACAATTCATCCATTCACATATGGAGCAAACATATCATAACACAAAAAATTAAATATACTTCTTCAGCTAATTTGCGAATTTTACGAAACCCTGGCCTCTCTCTACATACACAATCAAACAAACACACAAACACAAACAAACATCCCTCAACACGCAATTCCACACCTTTAACTGCGCAATGAATATGGATTCTACAATAAATATATATTCAACACTTACTTGGAGAAATAGCTTGCAATTCCACCTCTTCAAAACCAACATTATTCCTCCCCTCATTCCATGAAGCTGTAGTCGCCCCGGATGAATTTCTAGCCCGAACTATATCTCCCCCAACCCTTCCACCCCTTCCCCGCCTACCCCTCGGGCAGCCAGCCAGGCACCCTGAAGCAACATGTTAATTACTCAAATGTTTAGCACAGCCCCCCCTTATACATGGAATTAAAACTACCCCAAGTTTTGAATTTGTTTAAATTGATTTTCTCCGGTTTTGCCTCTGGATATTCATTCCAATACAACAAAACTCGGCAAAAACAGATCCGTAGATAAAAATAATTACCTTTCATAATCTCAAGGGCCCTGAAAACCAACCATATGCCAACAAAAATAGAACCCAACATCAATCCCCTTAAAAAATCCAAAATCGGCCAACTTTACAGATATTTCTGGAACTATATAGGGCGTGCCACTAGATGAGCTAATACTCGGTTTCATTGTACTCGGCCCGGGAACCCCTGTACTTGAACCAATCTCTTCCTCTGAGCTATCGTATACTGGAATAATCATTTTTACTCTCTAAAACCAATATTTTTATAAACAAATAGCCTTCCGTAATTCACTTAAACTGAATTATATATTGAAATACACTTCCCCTTTAAAAAGTACAGGGGGGTGTCCATAGCTTTAGCCAAGCTAGTTCTAACTAAACTGAA